CCCCAAAACCCCAAAACCCCAAAACCCCAAAACCCCAAAAGCTATGAAAAATCAAAAATTATATAATTAAAATAAAATGCAGAAGGACAAACGGAAAACTGACTTTTGGATCACCAATAAATCAAAAATATCCAAGGCTGCGCCAGGGAAATACAATGTGCCGATCCTGAGCACCAGGAAGGACCATTACTACGGTCCTGCATCCTTCGGATCTACTCAAGGAAGGTTCGACCCGAAAGTAGTCAAACAGAAGAAAATTCTGCCAGGCCCAGGTGATTACGAAAGCGAGCCACTTAGCCTAGTTTCACATAACATTAAATAATTCATACCAGTCTGTATTCAATTCAAAGGTAGAAGACTCTCAAAGAGTTATGAGCCATTCTCGATCAAATTCATTGAGCAACAAATAATGTCTCAAGGACAGTTCATACTTCTCAAATGAGTAGTATTCAAAGAGATGGCTTCAATTTTAACAGAAGTTCAATAAAAAACAGCGGGAATTATGTTAATACTACCAACGATAAGATCATCGGGACGAACCAACAAGATCTGTCCACTCTAGACTCTAACGAGCTAGGCTCGTTGATTCTCAATTCGCCAATAGAGAGGGTTCAGAAACAAGCAATGAAACTTCGAAAGGGATTTACTAATAAAAGCAAGACCTCTCCTTCGATTCCGTATAAGAAACCTAAGAAAGGAGATGTTTTAAGCCCAGTGAAGTATAATCCAAATCATGAATTACTGCACAAAAATACACCCTGTGCTATAATTAAAGGTCATGATATTTCATCACCCCACAACAATAGCTCTCTAAATAAGTACATCGAAGCCTTTATCGGCGATGTGGTTGACTCCTCTAGTAAAGGTGAAAACCAAAAGAAGCTACTAGAGAGGATCAATAAGTTTAACTCTGATGAGAGTTCAGCCAACCATTCAGTCACAAACAACTCTTTGATCCAAAGTATGTCAAACCATTTGAACACTATTGTTGGGAAGACACAGAAGCAGGAAGGAGGCGACTCCTTCTATATAGAAGCTAATGATTACCACAGTATAGCTCTTCATACTGCTCCAATAGAATCTAACATTAAGATGAGGTCTCCCTTCGTGTCTAAGACAGAGAGATATCCTGACATCAAGCAGTCCCCTGGGCCAGGGGACTACAATCTGATCCAGGAGAATAGCCTCAACATGACAGATGACATGATGACCTCTCCTCAAGCTTTTGGGTCTACTTACAAGAATAGGACTCATTTTCTTAATGTTGAAAAGACACCATTTGGGAACCCTTCATTCATGAACACTCCAGGTGTAGGTCATTACTACAAAGCTAAGAAGATCCCCAAAAGAATCCAGAATGAGATCATCAAAGCCCAAAGAGAACGAGCAGTGGAGGATGGAGTTATGAACAAAACTGCATTCCTAGGAAGCTCCCAACGCCCTTGCTTAAGTGATAGGAAAACAGACTCTGTAGGACCAGGAAAGTATGGTATCGCTAAACACACCTCTAAGAGTGAGGTGAGGAATTACCCTTTCAAAAATCCTCGGAAACAACAGAAATCTGTATTTATTTCAACATCTCCGAGGTTTAGAGATGTGGCTAAGCCTCCAGAGAATGCTCTGAGTAATCCTGCCTCCATCCGGGAAGGCATCAAACAAGTTCATAACAAAAATAACACATCTGATGATAGCCAAACTTCACGATGGAAGCGGATTAAGAAGCAAAATTTTGAAAATAATTTAAAAAGAGAGAAATCTAAGCAATCTTTTATGTTCCAGAGTGGTACCAATAGATTCTTTACCCCCAAGCCACAGACCATTGAGAATTTATCAAAGAAGGAGATGAAGAAAGTTTCGCAATATGCAGCTTTGTTTGGACCACACCAAAAGAATCTCTATCAACCAGGACAAGATCTTGACCAGAAAGAAGATCAACCAAAGGGATACACTCAGGCTATTAACAAAATAGTTGGATTTAGTTCTGAAGCTCCTAGATTTAAATCTCCTAGTGAGAAAAATAACCTAATGCCTGGGCCTGGCTCTTATCAATCTGGCAAATTTCGAACAGAGGAGGATGTATTCAAGGCTTTACAAGAAGCCGATGGTAAAGCTCCTAAAAAGCCCAGAAATTCACCAACGGCTGCATTTAAGAGCGAATCTCGACTGAAGCATTCAATGATAAACTTGGTAATTTCCTTCTAACTCTCTAGATTAAGGAATCTCCCGGCCCTGCGGACTACAATAGCAGTATCTCTACGATCAGGAAGAAGACATTCAACTACGATCTTGCCAAGAATAATTAGCTCAATATTTCCTAAATTTCTTGGGGTTTTGGGGTTTTGGGGTTTTGGGGTTTTGGGG